TCTCAATACTTGCGTTCAAATGCGTAATGCATTAGAAAATCAAATTTTGAGGGTCTATTTGGCATCACTTTTTGTTTATGATTTTAAAGAACATGTTTGGTTAGTGTTTTGTAACATTTTTTCATTTTTTGTTCTTAAAAACAAATCAAGTTATTTTTAAAAATACTCAAATTAAAGGTATTTTTATTATTTTCAAAACATGATCTCTCAACCGCTCTATATTGGCCACCAATGATGCCCTGTTGCGCCACCATCGTCCTGCTAGTCAGCACCACCACCCACAGCTACCGTCACCATTGCTTAATGTTGTCGCCTTGCCAGGCACCACCACTCCCATATCCAGTAGTCGCTATCACCACCAATATCCATCACTACCACCACCATTACCACAAACTACCATAACCACCACCACCTGCCATTGCTACCCACCACCACCACCACATCATAAGCACCACACTAGCCATTGCTGCATAAACTAACTTATGAAATACACAATAAAAATAACAATATATAGTTAATATATCAAATAATTTTTTATTTCATATAAAAACATTAAAAAAATGAAAAACAGAAAGTGGTCCCAAACAACCTCTAAGCAGTTGACCATTCTAATAGATGAAAGATCCAATGTAATTAATTCGAAAACATGAAGTCAATAAGCCCATGAAGTCAACTATAATTAATAGGGTCACTTTACCTACATATTAACGTCATAGAATCCATTATTGGGATTTGCACATCTTCGAGGATGTGAACCCCATCCTCTTTAATCAGGTACGCACAAAGTCAACAAATTTGTTAAATCAATGCATGGACCTTCCAACTGAGGCAAGCTTCATCCTGGTTAATCTGAGCCTTCCAAAGATATAAACCACAGCCCAACCTAAACTCTGACCAACTCCATGCAAACAAGTCCACAAAACAAAACCACACAACAAAAATCTTAGGTGTCTCAAACAAGTTTCTTCAAGTAAAGCCTAAAATTTGTGAACAAGTTATAATTATGGATTGTCTCTGAGCTCTTGTCAGTCATATTTAGCATGTTTGAATTGCAAGTGAACAAGCATAATGCCTTCCAACTATTCAATTGAACCGGTACATCAAGCCCCTTTATGTCAATCTCAAAAACTTGTCTTCAATACACACATATTTCACCCAAGTCTGTTTAAAATGCTTGAAATAAGGCAACTCATACATGTTAATCAGATTCCCTAAACATTATGATTCAATGCCCCATGATGTTGGTAGACTGGATCAACTAGTGAACTTGAGATGACAGAACCATGAGAATGATTTGACCTACCTTTACCACCCCAATTATTCCCCATTCAATTAAATTTGCATTTAACTATATAATATAAACATAAGCAACCTCCTTTATCAAGAATGCTCTACTATAAATGAGAGGGGTAATTTATAATGGGCTTTTGTGCCTTTAGAAAGTCTTGATCACATATGTAAATAAACTTTAGCCTAAATATTAGAGAAAATCTAATTAAAACAATTAGGAAAAACTACTCTAAAGTCCTTCCACGCATTGAGAAGATTCTAACGGAAGGGGTTGACATTTTTGAATTGACTAAATTTCTAACAACACCATTGAGAAAGACTTCTCTCTCCATCTTCATAGTATCACTCAAGCTTAACCAGGATGATGAAAGCATTATAAAATGTAGTAAACTTTGTCAATTCCAAACTAACTTCATCTTCTAGTAGAAAGTGAAACGAGAGAAACCAAAAAAGGAACATGGTCACCAACGAGATAAGTTTGCAAGACTTTACAGTTTACAAATAAGCTTTTACCATGCAACAGCCTCAAAGTTACCATCCTTACTCAGAATGAATTCAAGGTGTTCCAAAGAATTAAAATGAATATTTCAAAAGTTATTCTACAATAAGCTTTTATGGAGGCTCCCAAATAACCACACCAAAAGCTATAAAAGAGGAAGCCCTATATTCTGTCAAGGAGAGAGGCCTTTCAAGGAAGATTGGCAACCGACCAAAAATCTCCTAACATGTTATTCCTCAAAGGCACAGAGTAACAGCCTCCAAACGAAGACAATGAGTGCTTTCTTTAAAACAATGCTTCAAGGTAAGACTCACAATATAGAAGAATTAAATCTCAAAAAAGATGCTGCATGAAGAAATTTGGGGCATGACATCTAGATAGTACATCATCGATAGATCCGTCATCAAAATATCCTAATTGCAAACTCACAGATTTAGCTTCAGTTTTCCATGCTTAACAAAAAAAAAAAGAAACTCATAACGAGGGTTTCAAAACCAACCACAAATCTATAGTGGTCTCTCCATAAATTGCAACTGGAGAATGAACTGAACTCTCAAAATATTTGAGTCTCAAAAAATATGCCACAAGGTGAACACTGAAGCGTGACATATGCAAAACACATCTCTGAAAATATATAAACAAAGGTATCAATGGCATCAGAAAAAGATAAGACCTCTATCTATAATGTCCTTCATAATACCAAAGGATGAGGTTGTAAGCGCACATAAATTTCTCAAGAGAGCATCTAAAAAATATAATTGATAACCACGAAGTGAAAAATTGGAATGGCTTCCAAAAAAATCGTTTTACAAGACTCCAAATAATTTAAGTTTCGTAGAAGATGCCATAGTGAGTACCATGGCATGACATATGGGTGATATCGTTAAGTGTTTGAGCATAAATGGTGGTCATTTTTAACAATATAATTGATGCATATACAGGTTATAAAATGAAACACCGATCGTGATTCTACTTCCCAATAAATGGAAGCCAAATTTGAAGAAATGCATTTATGGTTGGTTTAAATTTTCTTAATATGGTCTTTGCAGGCAAACTTTAGTTTAGTTTATTTGATGCATGGCATATATGAAAATACGATTTAAATAAGGATGTTGCACGCTTGATGATTAAGAGCAAGTTAACTAAAGCTTTAGGGTGACTTAGACAAAGAAATAAAATACAAAGAGCGGTAACAAAAGCTTAGGCCAAGTTAGTTGCGAAAAGTAAAAGCCACAAAATAATCAATTACTCTTGACGTTGCATACGAGGTGAGTTTCAACAAGAAATCTCTAATCTAACAATAAGAGTACTGCTATGAAGGATCTCTACACAACTCCTAATAAATGCTAGGGTTTAGCGGGAAGATTTAACACAACTTTTCATGAATCAATTAGAGATACGATTGAGAACGTTTAAAAGATAAAGGATAGGAAGAGATATCACCCAAATAAACATGCTGAACAAAGCTCCGGTGTGGTGTTTATGTGCTTGAGAGGAAGTAGACAACAACCTTTGATTCTTCTTGATGTCTTTGGACAGCAATGTGATTTTAAAACCAGCAGAACAGCAATAGGAGATGGTTACAACTGCTGGACAGCAACTTTGACACTTGAGAAATTCTGGACAGCAATCTCTAACACTTGTATAAACCTTGGGCAACTGTTATAGGCTGCTGGAGACTTCTTGAGCGGCAATTTCAGACCTCCCAGGGTGCAGGACAGCAGTTGGTAATGGCATGGACAGCAAGATGAAAATCTGGAATTTCCTAGGCTATGTGCAGATTGTGCCCAGAAATCTGGACAGCACTCAAAAATCCAATAGAGGAAGAAAACCAAGAGGGGGAAGGCTTGGGGAAGACAGCCAGGGCTGAGGAGAGTTACAGGATGATTGAGGACTTAATTTAGCAGGAAAAAGGGGAAGGCCGGCCATGCATGAGAAATTAATGGGGATTTGAATTCTTTCCAATCATGGGTGTGATTAATTTGGAAAGAGATTTAAAGGGAAACCTCTAAATAAATTCAGATTTGGGATAATAGGAAAGTTCCCAAATTGAATCCTTCTTAATTTAGGAAAGGATTCAATATTCAAATAAATTTGAATTTGGAGTTTGAAAACTTTCCAAATTTAAGAGGGTCTAAATTAGGTAAGCTTCCAATTCTTTCCTTAGAGGAGTTTTGGGAGAGAAAAGGAAAGTAGATGTGAAAGGGGCCAGCGGCATGAGGGGGCAAGGGAGAGTTTATGGAAACATTTAATGCCTTCCTGATTTAAGGAATTAAATTTGGGAAGAAATATCTCATCCCAATTTAATTTAAAAATTCAAATAGGAAGGGACTTGAAAACTTTCCTAAAATAGGATTTGTATTTTAGGTAATAATTTCAAATTCAAATATATTAGAATTTGTAATTATATGAGTTACCTAAAATATGTAGGGCTTATTTAGGAAAGTTGTAATGTCAATTGATGAGGGAGGGGAAAGCAAAGTGGTGGCCGGCGGTTTGAAATAGGGCTTGTGGGTTAAATGGTTTGGTGGTGGGGGTTGGTCAGTGACAAGATGGATTGTGGTTAGGGAATCCGACGGCTAGGAGGTTGGGAATTGAATGGGGATGTTGGTGGCTTGATGGGGGAAGGAGGACGGGGAAAGGAAAAAGAACGAAAGAAAGGTAAAGGAAGAAGAACCACGAACCCGGCCGTCTCCAAGGTTGGTGGGTGATCCGATTTCTCTCCCTAGGGATTTCTCCAAAGCTCTCTCCTAGAACTCTCACAACTCTTCAAAGAACACATGTGCAGGAACTCAAGTGAGGGTAGAAAGGGAAAATGAACTATAATAAATCAAATACATAAAATAGATCAAAATAAATAGGCACGATCGTAGCCGTAGATTTCTGATGTCCTCATTATTATTGCTTGGAACTACCAAAATCTCTCAACATGCCACATCCATTCAAAGAAGGCAAAGCATGGAGAGCAACATAGCTTGGAATGAATTTGGTCTATAACATGATCAGCTTTACATGCACACATGCCAAAACATTTGAAAGAACCAAAACACAAATTTACAGAAAAATCAATATTCCTTTATAGAACCTAAAATAAACATATCCATAACAAATCATAAACATGTTAACAACAATAATTGCGATGATTTATGAGAAATGGAAAAAAATATCAAAAAAGTCAACAAAAATTAAATGATCCTATAACATTGCTTACCGGATATAAAATGAATAAAAAACAACCCAATGTCACAAACAAGGCAAAGAAATAGTCCTTTCCATTATATTTCTTTTGCATAATAATTGTGCTCCAAACCTAAACAACAACGAGAAGATAACTCAAAAATAAAGCAGTTGTAAAAGCTTCTTGCATAAAGAGGATTTAAGTTAGAAATATCATAATATAGTAGACAAAGGAAATTCATATAATCACAGCAAAAAGAATTAGTTGACGCTTGTGAAGAAAGAACATAAACAGTTTCTTTGTCTTTTCATGAATTTTCAAACCCTTGGGTACTTACGAGGAGGAGACAAAAAAAAGAACTTCACAATTGACCCTTCAACATTTTTTATTTATTTATCATTCTTTGTCACAAATTAAGTTTATGCTAATTATTAAAGGATCCAAACGTATGCACTTTTCCCCTTTCTAACCAACAATGTAGCATTTAAAATTAAAAATAATCAAATTAATGGCGATACACCATCAAAAATTTAAAAGCCTCATTACAACCAAAAAGAAACCACCATATACAACTTCATCCCCACCATTAAAAAAGCATCAAGTTTACTTCCATTATTTTCTTATAAAATGGCAGAAAATCTTCTTAAATATCTAATCCATAAAGCTATTAGTTTATTGCTGCAGTAATGAATTATTATTTTAAATAAAATGAAACCCTGGCACCCTCCCAGATAACGAATATTGTGAATGGTATTCTGCTGTTACTTGCCATTACACAATTTTGTGATATCAAGCTAAAGCAAGCAAGCCAAATAAAGTTTCTCTGATCGAACTACAGTTTTGATGCATCCAAAAAACTGTTTAACTCAAACGCTTTGTATCAACAACTAGAGGAAATATGTTTTCTTCAGCAAAAGCGTCCTTAAAATAATAATAATATTATTAAAAATAATAGTATGCTTAGAAAACATGGTATATCAATACATTTGATGGCCGAGCATTTGTTCATGAGCTATGTGTCGAGGAATAAGCCATGAAAACTTCTCCAAAAGCACCAAAAAATACATCTAAAGCATATATAAAACAGAAAACTCCAGCAATAAACCAAAATGTAAGGACTTACCATTACAGGTATCATTTTTGCACATTTAGCGAGTGTTTGAACAGGAAAACTAACATACTTCAGTGCCTGAAAACAAATATCTGCTTTGTTTCAATATATGCAAAATGGTATTCTTTGGCACATCTATAAAATCATTTAATGGGATGTAAACAATAATCTTCATTGAAACGTTGGAAACTGACCTCATATTGGCATGTTGTTGTAAGAATGTTGGATAATGATACTGCACAATATTTATGCATTGGGGCAGCAGGAATCAATGTCTTTTCACTGATCTGCAGAGTAATACCAATCAATAACAAGTAAAAATATTTAACATAACTTTATGCCAATTTTACCAGTAAGACGCCTCCAGATACTGCAGAAGTTATAATACGGTTGCACAAAACAAGAAACAAGGAGAATCTAAAGTATTCTTTATCTTCTCCATAGGGAACTCTCATAATCTTCTCCTGCATGGAACGGTTATCCGTTAGCAATTCAGATATTGTTAAAATTCAAAACAGATTTTTTTCGAAGAAAAACAATATTTTAAAAAATGACTACGTTCAAAAATACAATTAACATCCTTTCATTCAATTTTAAACGAAAATCCGACTTTTTGGAAGCCATGCAAAACGCTAAAAAAAAAAAAAAACCAAGCATGGGCATTTCTGTTGTTCATGTATGTGCATTACAGAGAATAAGTGATTGACATTCTAGAACAATAACTATAGAGAAAATGACGACAATAAATCAATAAATATGAGAAGCTCAAAAAAAGAATGTGAAAAGAACCTGCAAAACGCCGTAGACAAGGAGAGTGGCCATGATCCCCACCACGGCAAAGACGAGCTTACCTGCCTTGCTTTCCTTCCAAGTGCCAATAAGAGTTTCCGCCATCACAAATCAAAGCCGTGAGGGGCTGTATAGTAGCAGGATTTAAGCTAAATCCTGCCAAACAGAAAATTGCAACTTAGGGCCTGTTTGGATGCAAATTTAGGCAGGATTCGAGCTAAATCCTGCCAAACGCCAAAAAATACAAAGTTCATTCTCGCGGAAAGTCTAATCTCTACTTCTCGGAGTTTTCGCCATTTTTGCCCTATATCTCGGATTTCGTAAATGCGACTTTTTTGCGGATTTCGTAAATCCGACCGAAGAAGCGCTCGAAAGGGGAGAAATATCGTTACCTTTGCGGCGAGCTCCCGGCGCGACTTCCGATCCGACAGGAACGACGTCGGAGGAGGAGGCGGAGAAGCTTCGACTCTTTCAAAACTCTACTTCACTAGAAGCATAACAACAACGAATAAATGCAGAAGAGGAAAAGCAAACCCTCGACAGGCAATGGCATAGCGACTCATTCGAAGCTCTCCCCCGCGCGACGCCGAAGAGGGAAGCTCTACTTCACCGCAACCAAGAAACCGAAGAGGGTAAGCCAATCCGGATTAGATTAATTCTTAATTTTATTGGATTTAATTGATATAATTATAAATATAAATATTTAATTAGGTGATTAGTTGTGTAAATATTAATTAAATAATTAGTTAGTGATAAAATACTTAATTTATTAATTAGATAATTATAAGTATAATTAGTAATTAATTTTATTAAAATAATATATAAAAGATTAATTAAATAATTTGTGTAAATAGAAATTAAATGGTTAATATTTATGAATTATAATTAAGTATTAATTAATTAGATAGTTATCAATATAATTAGCATTGAAATACTTATTAAAATAACACATAAATAAGTCATTAATAAAATACTTATTAGAATAACATCCTAATTATAGTATTCATAATTAAAATCAATTGATGTTATATAAAATTACAATTAATAAGTAACTCATATTTAAAATAAAATGTCAAATGAATTAACCGCCTTAACTAAAGAATGGCATTGTCAAACAAACTCTCATAATTTGTTGAGATTTAACATATTTATTATTGATACGGCATAACAAAAATTATCTTGATCGGGCACGAATCTCGAGGCAAAAGCTAGTTAGAAACTTCAAAAATTAACTGTCAAACTGAGCGTCTCGGAAATACAAACCCAACGACACCAAGATCAACCCAATCCGAGGCCAAATGAGTTCGAATCAAGGGCTCAAAGCGCTGTTGGAAGGTTCAAACTGCAATTTGAGTTACCAAACGATCTCAGATTTTGACGAGCTTATACTCGAATCGAACGGCTCGACAAGACAAATCCAACGAGCCCAAGATCGCCAAATTCCAAAATCATTAAGGCCTTCAAATGCCCAACGAACGGTGCATGATCAAAGGATTTGATATCGGCCGTCCATTCAAACCACTCCTAATTCGCCCTTGATCTCACGCATATTTACGGGCTATGCCACTCCAGAAAAACTATAAATAGAGCCATCATTCTACACCAAAGGGACTCAAGTGAAGAGAGAGAATAAGAAGAGGAGAAAGGGGAAAAGGAGATTCCTCACCTCCTCGACCACCGCCGGAGCTCTTACTGCCGCCTGAAGACGCCGGAACTTTGCCGGATTTTCAGGAAACGCCGGGAATTTGCACAACTTCCACGTGATGCTGAAATTCTTCTCATTTAACGATAAAGTTCCCTCCTGACGCCGAAACTCCGCCCAAGGGAGGCCCGATTTCTCCAATGCCACCAACAGACGTCGGACTTCTACCCGACGTCGGACCTTCACTCTTCGCTAAGTCTCTACCCGATGCCAGACTTCTACCAGTTATTGGACTTCGCTGGACATCTATGCGAAGATGCATTTCTTTCCATTGCTGGACTTCTACCTGACGCTGTCCTACTGATCTTCGTCGTCAGACTACAGTCCTTCCGACCTCCGTCGCCCGTTAACTACGGTCCTCCTGACTTACGTCGCCCGCCGACTACAGTCTTTCCGACATCCGTCGCCCGTTAACTACGGTCCTCCTGACTTACGTCGCCCGCCGACTACAGTCCTCCGTCGCCAGCTGACTACGGTCCTCCTGACTTACGTCGCCCGCCGACTACAGTCCTCCGTCGCCAGCTGACTACGGTCCTCTTGACCTTCGTTGCCCGCCGACTGCAGTCCTTCTAACAAAGCGAACATGTCATAGTGATTCTTTGTATTTACATTATGTAATGTACTCCATAAGATGTACATCAAGCTAAGACCTTCCACCAAGGAAGGGCCTCATTTGTAATCGACTGCAATACTAGTGGATTCATTCAAACTGGGCTAGGCCCCGTGGATTTTCCCCCTTTTTCAGGGGTTTTCCACGTAAAAATTTTGGTGTCTCATAAATGCTATACCCTTTCTCTTATCTGATTGCGTGCCGGATTTTCGTACAATGCTAAGACGATAAACTTTATATTTCTTTACTGCCGCGAATACTCCTGGACGTAACAATTATCTAACAACTTTTGAGATTTAACTCTCTCAATGTTTAGTAAATTTAGATTTAGTCTATTTACATGCATTCAAATAAGTCCTAAATCTTAGAAAATCTCAAATCCCATTTCTCATATATAAATCCTAGATTTAGGCTTTCTTACTACTTCTTAAAGTAGCTTTCTAGTTCGAAATTAAATCTTAGTTAATCCATTCATCAAGCATATTTAACTTAAATACGTAAGTCTCACAGTCCTCATCTACTTTTACATTGGTCATATTTAACTTAAAATCCCTTCTACATTACACACTAATGGTTTGGTTGATGCCTTCTCCAATGATCTCCCGTCATGATTTTCCGCCTCATTATCATCGAAGGCTTTTGGAATTTATGACAGAAAGTGAGGAGATCAAAGTTCTTTGTGCACCAGCACCACTTCAGAATATAAGAACAAACAACATTGGTCTTAATGGATAGCTTGGCTAAGAAAACAAGTAGACATCGAGGAGGAGATTAAGGGTTTGTTTGGTTGTCTGAATTAGGAGTGTAAAGTAAAATAATTATCTGTATTTATCAAATTTAATTGTTTGGATAATTTTGAGGGAAATAAAAGAAAATTATGGGATACATTTGGGAGTGTATTACGGGACTGTTTTACCTGAATTAGAAACCTGCTCAAGCGGGTTATAAATTCATCCGAAGAAAAGCTTCGATCTCGTCATGGTGTTCGGCTTCATTGCACGATAGTCTCCTTCGACTCCTTCGTTCTTGTTCGACTTCGCTCCGGCAAGCAGCTCCACTCCGTCGCAAGCTCTAGCTCGCCCCTGCAGTTCGCTAATCAACTCCCTCTCTGTCTCCTCCTAGTTCGCAAGCCCGTCGCCTCCCTGTGCCGCAAGAAGCCCAAAACCGAAGCCCAGCCTAGCCCCATTCGCAAGAACCGGCCGCACCTCCCTCTCACGGGTGTCCGACGACGCCGATCGCTAGCCCTAGCCGTGGACTCCCACCTCGTCTCTTTCTATCTGTTGAAGAAACCCAGGCCGATCCCCCACATATCTCCGGCGACAGCCAGATCGCGGTCTCCTACGGCGTGCAGGATTTTGGAGGAGCCGATTCGCAGCTATTGGTATAAGTTCAAAATCTTTTTTTTTTTTTTTCACTGCTTCCATAGAAATATAGAATGACAAAGGTTTATCACTAGTTTCTTTACCTCTTTCATATAAATTATTGCTTTGTCCCAATCGAGATTAAGTTCAAGCGACTGCAGTTCGTTCTTATTTCTAGGACTCCAATGCATTTTGTATAGAAATCTAAAGTTTTCTGTGGGATAATGACATCCATGACTTTCACAATGATAGTGCATTGTAGATTTGTTCACTTGCAGATGGTTTTGTTCTTAACGCAAATAACCTTGAGTTTATAAGTTTGATGGCTGCATCTATTTCATTTTTCATGGTTGCATTGTCTATTTCTCCATCCTCCTTTGTTCTTTCTAGTTAGAAAAGTATTGGAGGTGTGGGGTTGTATATTGCATGTCATGTATGTACTAATAGATTGTGAGTTCTTAGAAAAAATAAATTTCCACTAAACCTTTCTATCTCCCAATTATATGCAAATAGTTGAGTTAAGTTTTTGTTACTAAAATCAATTTAATGACATTTGAAATAATTGCAAGATGTGTTTCATTCATTCATGTTATATGTCTTTGCAAATAGGAAGCTTATAAGTTTAATTTGGGAGTGGATAACTTATGATAGCTTTGTTCTTACTTGAAATTGGAAAATGACACGAGTGGTTTTGTTCATAGTTGGAAAGAAAATCATTATGGCATGTTTTAATTTATGTGAAGGAATTAAAGAGTATTAGGGAAGATGTGGAAGGGTGTATATAATAAACAAAAAATGTGGAAGGGTGTATAACATCCTTTAGTGATTATGGTCCCTTCTGTCACCAACTAAGTTAGTAGTTGCAGGCACACCCTCTACTAGAATTCTGGAGTGCTTTGATGATTGGAATACTGCAACTGTTATAGAAAGATTTATTTGACCTTTGCATCGCCTTGCTACTTCGATGACAATGAAGGAAGAGAAGGTTTACATTAATCATTTATTGGGACTGGGCGTTACAAAGAGGACTGTTATTACTGAAGCTATTTTTACTGCTTTGATTGCTAAGTGATCATAATGTTCTTGTATTTGTGCTATATTTTAATATTTTCATATGGTTTTGCAAGTACATCTGTAGTGGATCTATGTGATTCTGATTTTATTTGGTATTTCGCATTTGTTCTTTTCCAAATGTTGTAGTTTTGTTTTTCCAAATGTTATGTTGGAGATCACAATTCTACTTAGTGGGATAAAGGCTTGTTGTTGTTGTTGGTGGCGGATTGTGAAACTTTATTGGATGTATTTTATGTTTAAGCTTGTGGAGCATTATTGATATCTATGAAAAAAAGTCTTACGCAAAGATGTTATGTGGATTGATTGTTCTTAGCATTTTATCAAAAGAGATTAAAAAAATAACATGCATAGTGGATGAGATTGAGGCTTTGTTTGGAACAGTTTTTGTACTGCTTTCTAAAGCAGTTTTTTAGTCCAAAAATTTCTTGAATTAAAAATTTTGTACTAAAAAGTTATTTTAGAAAGCTGTCCCAAACGAAGTCTGAAGTTCTCCCATAAAAATTTTCACTCAACTAATTTAACAATTATGTGCAACCAATAAAAACAAAATAAGTCACAGGGATTTGATAATCCCATGCACATAGCATAAAATTTTCATGTATTTTTGTATTTAATATTTATTTATATAATACTTTAATCTTTAAATCATAATGAAATATTATATAAATAAATACTAAAAATGTAAGAACTAAATTTGTAAATATATAAATATTCTATGGTATGCATGCAAATTCCTGAAAGGGCTATTTGGATACTTATAGTATTTTACTCAAGTAAAATTTAGTAAATATTTTAATTCTGATTTACATTATTTTTTAAATTACAAGGGTATTTTCTATTTATTAAATTCCAATGGCTTTAAATCCTAAAATTTATTTTTATTTAAAAAAAAAGATTAAATTTTGATGATTTTTTATATATTTACTATATAAGTAACACGGATGGAGAAATCAATATGAAAAATAGAAACACATCCAAATTCTCTAATAATACATGATATATTCAATATGATATGGCATCTAAAATGAGGTAATAATGGGAAAAAAAAAAGAAATTTGGCTTAATTCTAAGAAATTCAAAACATTCAAAAGGGGAATTTTGAAAATATTCCTCTCTTTTGTTCTCATTATAGGATGCACCAGCATGAAAACATTCAATGTTTTAAATTGCATCAAGAACTCAAGATTTATGAAATGAAAGATGATGAGATTGATGCTAAAAAAGGTGGTGTTGAACATGAACTAATTTCATATCACTTGCCTTTTTTTTCCATATTCTAGATGATAATCTTGATGACATTATTCGAATTCATTCTACTATTAACAAGGAATTATCTATAAAGGGGAATATTATTGCTTTTAAAAATTCTAAATAATATTCTTGAAGGTGGGATTTCTAATACTAACATTGTTCCTTAACATTTAGTGGATGTTCATAAATCTGTAATTTTAAATCATAATCTATTATGACTACTAAGTTGTCTTCATCAGCCAAGCCAAGTAATGTGGGTGTTAACTCTTACAATCTTGATACAAATGATGTTCCTGATTCTAGTTAATTCTTCCACTTTCTTTTATAGGAATCATTATTTTAGTGATTTTATTGAATAGAATAAAAGTTATAAATTAGTTAATAAAAAGAAATACGCTAAGTAACACATTATTCTACACTTGCAACAATCATAATATTTCATGTTTCTAATAACAACTCCAATGATTAATTTGATTAGATGGAATAGTTGTGGTATGAGAAACCCTATATCCTTAGATATAGTCGATAATATTTGTAGGATTCATAATATCAGGATTTTGGTTCATTTTAAAATCTTTAGATGGAATATTAGTTAAATTTTATTAATTTTTAATAAATAAATCTTTGAATAATTTTTAAATGCTATAACTACCCTTTTTAAAAGATAAATATTAGGGATTATTGACCTATTTAGGTGCCGCTTGCATGCAGTTTAAGCAGGATTTGAGTTAAATCTTGTCAAACTTAAAAAAAGCTGCTTAAATCTCACGTTACGTTTTTTGCCCTAAATCCTGATTTTCCATAGTTCGTCGTATTTACGGTATTTAGCCGAAGAAGCGCGCGAAAAAGGAGTGAAAGATCGTTACCTTCGCAGCAAGCTCCCGTCGAGACTTGCGATTGGACAGGAACGACGTTGTCGAAGTAAGCGAAGCAGCTTCCTAGCGACTCTTTCAAAACTCTACTTCAACCCCAAAGCTGGAACGAAGACATGGGGACGAGGAAAAGCAAACCCTATGCAGGCCTAAAGCTATAGGAAGAGCAACTACAAAGACCAAAGAGAGGAGAAATTATAGAAGTTTATAAGGCCAGAGAAGCCGAAGTACCCGAAAGACGATGACGCAGGCTGCTTTCCCAGCTCCGTTTTGCCTCCTACCAGCTTTTATTACTTTTGCTTATCTTCTGTATTTAATTATCTTAATTTATAATTAATTATGATATTGATATATAAAAGTATAATTAAATGAATTAATTAAAATTGATAAAAATCTTATTAGGAAGAGCATAGAAAATGATATAGAAGATTAATAAATAGGGTTAATAAAAATTATGATTAATAACTATAGAATATGTATAATTTAATTAATCTATTTAAGTGTAATAAAATTTCAAATTAGATTTTATATTTTATTAGATTAATAATTTACAAATTAATAATTAATTTAGATTAATTAAAATCAAAATTAATTTTAAAATCTATAGTAAATAGGGTTATTAATCATAATAGAATCAGGAACATCCACTAAATTATAAAATCACTAAAAGAATGATTCCTATAAAAGGAAGTGGAAGAATTAACTAGAATCAGGAACATCATTTGTATCAAGATTGTAAGAGTTAACACCAACATTACTTGGCTTGGCTGATAAAGACAACTTAGTAGTCATAATAGATTATGATTTAAAATTACAGATTTATGAACATCCACTAAATGTTAAGGAACAATGTTAGTATTAGAAATCCCACCTTCAAGAATATTATTTAGAATTTTTAAAAGCAATAATATTCCCCTTTATAGATAATTCCTTGTTAATAGTAGAATGAATTCGAATAATGTCACCAAGATTATCATCTAGAATATGGAAAAAAAAGGCAAGTGATATGAAATTAGTTCATGTTCAACACCACCTTTTTTAGCATCAATCTCATTATCTTTCATTTCATAAATCTTGAGTTCTTGATGCAATTTAAAATATTGAATGTTTTCATGCTGGTGCATCCTATAATGAGAACAAAAGAGAGGAATATTTTCAAAATTCCCTTTTGAATGTTTTGAATTTCTTAGAATTAAGCCAAATTTCTTTTTTTTTCCCATTATTACCTCATTTTAGATGTAATATCATATTGAATATATCATGTATTATTAGAGAATTTGGATGTGTTTCTATTGTGCATATTGATTTCTCCATCCGTGTTACTTATATAGTTAAGTTTGGTACTACCTATTCAGTTTACTACTCACCCCTTTATATGTTGGTTTTCCTTGTGCTATAATATGGATTCTACAGAGAGACTAGTGGTGCATCAATTTTGAGTAGGTATTAATAGTTATCTTTTAAGATTTAAGCTATAATTATATATTTTCATTATTATTTCACTTGTATTATATTCTTGTAACGTGCACTTGTGGATTGGTATTATTATGTTGATGTGAAGACTATTTACTAGTGTTGGTGGATGTATGCTGCATTACATTGAATTATTGGATTTAGTGGTTCTTTGTTGTGCTTTAGTTACTTGATACTTGGATATTAACTATATGGTTGTAAATGTTACTGTAATTGTTTGTACAATTGGAAAATGTTAGTCTATCTAGCCATTATTTGTTTGGGTCAGTTGGGTAGGTATTATAGGGTGTTACGAGAGCCATAGGCTTGTTCCGTAACAACCTGTGCTTCATTGTTTCTCTCAGATCTTTATTGGTGGCACGACCAAGAGATTCCTATGGGTCTGCTAACCATCATACGGAAGATAAAGAGAAAGGAGAAGGAGATGAGAATTCTTATGGTGTAGGACTTTTTCCAAAACTATTTTCACCCTTGTTATACTTAGATATTTTTATTCCCATTTATTTTTTTGAACATTGCAAATTCCCTACACGCTTCTTCACGTGTCACAGTGGACTGGACAACTCGGGGAAGACAACTATTGTGCTGAAGATCAATGGCGAGGATACTAGCATCATCAGCCCCACCCTGGGCTTCAACATCAAGACCATAAAGTACCAGAAGTAAGCCTATCCCTTTTTCCTTTTCTTCAGCTTCCTAATGCTAATTTTTTTTAATTGCATTTTAAAATTTAACTGGACTTGGGAATCGAGGCAGGTATTCCTTGAACATTTGGGATGTTGGTGGGCAGAAAACAATAAGATCCTACTGGAGAAACTACTTTGAACAGACTGATGGTTTGGTGTGGGTCGTAGATAGCTCTGATTTGAGAAGAATGAATGATTGCAGGATGGAGCTTGGAAATCTCCTCAAAGAAGAGGTTGGATCTCTCTCTTGCTTCCTTTTTCGCATGAAAATTATGAACAGTGAAAATAGCTCTAAGTTTGCCTTACATTCTGATATCCGTAGTGGTATATCATTAATACTTCATCACTCTCCTATTCCTGTTGCTTTTTTCATGCTTCTTGACGTTTTTTTTTCCTATTAAACCCCTCATTCAATCAGATGCATAATCTTACATTTGCTGCAAAATTGGAAAGTTTATTCAGGTGGTAATGACATATTATAGCTATTTTTGATCGATTTTGTTAATTATTATTTTTTTTACTATTGAATTTATATGCCTTTCAATCTGTCAACACAGGTTCCTAGTCTGCTGACATTAGCTGCACTTCTCCACACAAGTCAAGCCCTCTGTCACATAATATTTATGATAGAAATTAGAAAACACTAATGTGTATTATTTGATGAAATAGAAATGAAAAATAGCAAGATACAGTTGATCCTCAATTCGAGAGGAGGATCAATCTTTCTCAAATCTCTAGACGCCGCTAGAGCTTAAAAACCAAAACCTAGAGATATGAAATTTCAGCCAAATTCAAGATGCCCTAACCCTAGGAAAACAAACTATTTAATGCATACAATTCAAAAGGATATCTCTAAACCTTCCCTACATTCAATTTCCCTCCTAAACTTCATTAAAAATCCTTCCAATACTGCTCTTTTTGAATTGTCGGTTTGATCGACATGCAGGAGGCCGAGATTGGCAGAGAGTGCCACCTCCCATTCGTAAGCCGGTCCGATATGGGCTGGCTGGACCGGTCTAACAATACTCCCCTCTTAAAGATTCACCTTGTTCGCAAGGTGGAAAGATGACACAATTCTCCATTCCTTCTTCATCACAAACGGTAAGAATTTGAAGAGTTCTGTCCTTACACTTGTGCCCCAGCGTATGCCTCTTGTCACATTTGAAACAAAGCCCCTTCGCCATTTTCTCATGTAATTCTGTTTATGTTAGCTTCTTGAAGTTGTACACAGTCTTACCCCTACAGTCTTCTCCTTCGAAGTCTCTCGAAGAGGTACTCAGTGTCGGCTTCTTGGGTGCCATAAAGGTGGTGGTCGGCTCCTTGGGTGCCAAAAAGGTGGTGGTCCTTCTATTTGGACCTCCTGAGTTGCTGCCTCCCGTATCTCTCTAGGTGCCTCTGATCCTCAATTGAGCTAGCTCCATAGCCCCTCCCAAATCACGAGACTTCATTACTCTAATCATTGCCCGGATCTCTAGCGTCAGTCCCTTCATGGAATTTCCCTCTAGCACTGTCTCTGGAAGATAGTCCAACGAATAGCAAGGTACTCGAATCTCTCCCGCTACTCCATCACTGAATCATCCTGTGTCAAGGCAAAGAACTGCTCATAGACGTCTCCTCCCATGCTGGTTTGGAAACATTCCAACAAGCAGTCCTTAAACTCCCTCCAGGTCCTTATCGGTCGCCTTGTATCCCTCCATTGGTACCATGCTAAAGATTTCCCTTCCAAGCACATCTTGGCTGCCATCAGCTTCTCCTCCTCCATCAACCTATTGACAATAAAGTACCTTTTTACCTTGTAGATCCATCAATGTGCATCCTCTCCCTCAAAGATAGATGTCTTTAGTTTCCTCACCCTCAGATTTTCTCTATTCCCTTCATAATTTTCCCTTCACCAAGGGAGTGGTTCCCCCCAAGTGTCTCAATCATCCCTTCTACATTCATACCCCAAACTTTCATTAAATTCTCACATTCTCCTCTCAAATTCAGCATCCCTTGGTTCATAACAAACCCCTTTCTTTTCAAATTCAGCTCCCCTTTGGTCATAATTTTCCATTTCCCTTTCAAATCTCGCCCCTCTCCTATGCAAATCAACACATCTTCGTTCTTGTCCTACCTCCTTACGCCTCTCCTCATATCCTCTACTTGGCTTCTCCCTAAGAATAGGCTCTATGAGAGGTATTCTCCCTTCTAGCTTTCGAGTCTCCACCTCCTAATCTTCCCTTTGCCTGATTGGCTTATGGTTTTCCTATCTCCCTGGCTGTCGGCGCCTTCCCTCCCCTCCGTCTGCGATATTTTGGTTTGACCACCCTCGAGCACTTTCTTCAACATCTCCCCTAGGCTGGAAAAATTCTCATCCATCTTCTCGTGGATGGCTGAAATGTCTTTCTTTAAATATGAAACTTGAGTTTGTAGATATGAAATTTCAGATTTCATTTGTCCGATCTCCACTTCGAGGCGTTACAACAACGCATCATTTTTCTTGGCTGCCATCAATACCCGGATCTTTACAGACTAAAAAACATGGAATTCGATTCTTGAAAACAACAAATAGCCCCTCTTCCGGCTGAAAAACAGCAGCTGGTTTTTATAGAAAAAAACACCAACACAATCCCAAAGTCCGCTCTAATACCAATTTGATAGGAAATACTTGTAGATCTTAAGTGTTTCTTATCAATCTTAGGAAAACAACAAGAATTCTCCACACAAAACCATGAAAATGAAAAATAGCAAGATAAAGTTGATCCTCAATTCGAGAGGAGGATCAATCTTTCCAAAATCTCTAGTTGCCGCTCGAGCCCAAAAACCTAAACCTAAGAGATCTCAAATTTTAGCCAAATTCAAGATGCCATAACCTTGGGAAAACAAACTATTTAATGCATACAATTTAAAAGAAAACCTCTAAATAGTCCCTACATTCAATTTCCCTTCTAAACTTCATCAAAAATCCTTCCAAAACTGCTCTTTTTGAATTGACAGTTTTATCGACATGCAAGAGGCAGAGATTAGCTGAGAGTTCAGCCTCTTGTTCGTAAGCCGGTCCGATATGGACCGGCTGGATAAGTCCAGTGGATCGGTCTAATAATTTATCATTTGTTTTCTCCCATTACCCGTGTTATCTTTGTGGTTCTTGAAATCATACATGGAAGGTGTGATTTATTTATTTCGTCACATTTTGATTGATAAGTTCATCCATTTTGGGTGCATGCTGTAGAATTCATCTCATTGCTTTTTTTTTTTGCCCCCTTTATATGCTAGGACAAAGGATATCCAAATCCCAGTTAATTGAGCTGATTTTTTTTTGTCATGTTCGGTGTATATGACTTCCTACATTTTGTGTAATACTATTCTAGCTTCTAATCTCATTTATTGGAAGATTTCTTTTAAGGGTTGTTTGGTTGGAGAAAAAGTAAATGCAATGCATATTAAATGCTTTGTTTTTTAACATTTTGGTGTTTGGTTAGCCATTGAAGTAAAGTAAAGTAAATTCGTAATGTATGTAGAGCTCCCGCTTTTAGTTCATTTTTCGCGTAAAGTAAACTTGCTCAAAATCGAGCGAGAAAGGAATTCACGGGGCAATGACTTCTTCAGCTTTTTCATTCCTACTCCACAAAAATCACTTCTTCGGAGGCGTTTAGTGTTTGATTTTCATCTATATTTCTCTATTGCCGTTCAACTTTGCGGGAAGTGCGGCTTCGGGTCTCATTAGCGTGAGATGGGCGCAGGCCGGACGGGAGTTGTTCGTGCGTGGAGTAGGCGGAGTCGGTGCAGATTAGCTCGTGTGTGCAGGGGCCGAACGGTACAGGTGAAGGAGGGTGTTGGATCGGACACAAACCGAGGTGGAATTCGGGATCGAACAAGAGGTTGCGTTCAATTGCGGCCGGTGAGATCGACAATTGTGCGGAAGCCTTAGGAATTGTTGTAGCCCATTGCTCCGAGGTATTTCTTTCCACTTATGGTTGATTTGACCACTCCGTGCGGGATTCTGGAGCCGCAAGATGTGTCTTATATGTTTGATTTTTCTAGGAATATTAAATCGGCTGGTGATCAATTGGGGCAATTGGCTTATTTTATTTTATTTTGCATACACCCAACCAAACATAAAAAATGGTTTTCTTGTATTCACTTTACAGATAATCAAATAGCTTTGAAGTATTTACTTTACATTGCATTCACTTTACAACCAACCAAACAGCTCTTAGTTTCTTCTTATGCAAACCCTGATCCAACATATATCATTCATCTTTGAATTAGACAGAGATGAACTTAGGTCAGCAAATGGAAGGTTAGGTTGGGTTTCTACTCGGATCTGGGACCCTTAATGAATCAGAATTTGCCATGTTCCAACAATTCCTACAATGGGTTGGTTCAGGCGGAAGTTAAAGGTAGAGCAATGGTAGGGTCGTTAAAGTAGCATCCGTTTGAAAGTCAATCACTGATGGTGAAAAGATAGTGGGGAGGAGCCAAATGGAGGGTGAGGAGATGAGATTATTCAATCTCAAAAAGACCTCGAACATAGTGGCATAATTAGGTCGGTTAGGCTAAGGGTTCATAGGGGAGAGCTGATGTTTCAACCATTTAAGGTGATTTTAGCTTGTTTAAGGTTTTCGTACGTAGAGAGTGACAAGCTGAAGCTAGTGTGGTGAACTCGAGATGTGATGCAGTTGGAGCATTTTTAATGGAGAGGAACATCCATGATGTCTCAAGTGATAAAGAGGAATGTCACTTTTTCTTTTAATAAAAGAGATCTGGCAGCGTGTTAGCTGCAGTTTTGGTGGCGGCCACATAATGCGATGAGGAGGAGCTTGGTGGAATAGCATATGTTCGTGAGGGTTTGGTGATTTAGACTTCATTGGGGATGGCTTTCTTATTACTTTGTAAAGCAGTTTTTCAATATAAAAAAATTATTTTTTACTAGAAAACCGCTTTAAGAAGCAGAGAGAAATTCATCCCAAACGAGGGCTAAGGCTTTGTTTGGGACGACTTTCTTATTGCTTCTTAAAGTATTTTCTTGTACAAAAATTTTAATTTTTGTACAAGAGAAGCATAATACTAAGTTAAGTGTGGCAGAGATGAGAATGCTCAGGTGGATGAGTGGCTTTACCCTTAGAGATAGGATACGAAATGAGCATATACGTGAAAAGGTTGGAGTAGCTCCAGTAGAAGATAAAATTAGAGAGAGTCGCCTTAGATGGTTTGGTCACATAAAACGACGGCCTTCCGACGACCCAGTTAAGAGAGTAGAGGTATTAGATTTGACTTATGTTAAGAAAGGTAGGGGTAGACCTAAAAAGACTTGGTTAGAAAATATTAGGAATGACCTTTCTTTATTAGGTTTAAATGAGAATTTGACTTTTAATAGAACACAATGGAGAAAAAGGATTCATGTAGCCGACCCCACGTAGTGGGATAAAGGCTTGATGTTGTTGTTGTTGTTGTACTAAAAAGTTGTTTTAAAAGATAATAAAAAAGTCGTCCCGAACAAAGCCTATATAAATTATGGTTGTTTTTTATGTGCATTGATGGAAGAAAATTTTTATGCTTGTCTATACATGCATGCTTCATATATGCATATAGGATGATAGCATCATATTTTCAATATTCGTAGCGAAGAGAATTAGACCATCTTTTTCTTCACATTAATTGGCGTCATTTTTTGCATGTGATAGAGATTATCAGGAGCTTCTTTGTTGATCTTGGCTAATAAGCAGGATATTCAAGGCGCTCTTAAGCCTACAGAGATAGCAAAAGTAAGTCTTCCTCAAAACAACCTTAGTTTCTTATTAACTTCTCACTAAGAAAAGTAAATAAGTAAATAAATAAATTTTGCTCTGCTATGAAATTTCTCATTCATTTGAGTAAAACTTCTCTCAGGTTCTAAATTTGGATGCTTTGGATAGAACCCGGCATTGGAATATTGTTGGTTGCAGTGCTTATAATGGCGATGGATTGTTCGAAGGTTTTGATTGGCTCGTTCAGGACATTGCTTCCCGGATTTATGTAATTGACTGATGTGATGATTTTTAAACCTAAGTCAGAGTGCTTCTTAGGCAGCCCCAATATTGCGGCGAATTATTCCGTCCAGTCACCGGACGTCCGGACACCCAATCTAGATGCGTCGTATCATCCGAATACACTGGGTCCCGATATATTTTGGTGACGTGACGCGTCTGAATTGGTGCCCGGACGAATCCGGACACTCGACATAATGATTTGCCCAATATTGCAGACGGCAGAGCTTTTGCTTCTTCTGTTTGGATGTGAAGTTTTGTTGGAATTATTTGTGTATTTGTTTTTTTATTTTTTCATTTACAAAACAAATGTTTTGGTTGAATCACATTAATTTGTTTTAAAAAGCTAAAAACAAAAGTAGCGTACAAATATGGTCTCTAAAATGAGCAATTATTCTGTGCGTACAATGGATTGTTCGGAGGCCAATCAGAACGTGCCACATTATCAGGTACATAGCAGTACCGAGCATCGGTACCAAGAAAAAAATGTTGTGATATATTTTGGTTGGTCTCTGGATGCTGTCTAGATCTGCACAAAATAATTTTTCCTTTAAAACAAGTATTGTTTTTTACACAACATTAACAAAAATAGCGCCATGGAGTTCTGCTTAAGTGAGATGTGATTTTGAAGTTGATGAAATGAACATCAAGTTAGAATTTAAAAGTTATGCATGATTGATTTTATGCCTATTCAATACAGACGTGAGATTTGCCATGCAAAATGGATTTGATCGTTCGCAGTTAATTAATAATAAACAAGTAGAGAAAGTTGAGAGAAATGGTACTTATGGACGTGTTGAAAGGAAATTGTTATAATTATCGTACTCAAAGATTACATATTAATAGAAGTTTTTTACATTTTTTTTTTAATATTTGTATCAATAAAATTATTTATTTTGATTCTCAAAGTTTCAAAGTTTTGAGATACTTCAAATAGCTTTCATAAAATTATAAATAAAAAATTTAAATAGAGTGCTACACATTAATTTTCATTATCAAGCATTTTACTGTATCTCACTCAAATACATACATTTTTTGCTCATTTAAAATTTTGTAGACCTTAAAATCCCAATAAAAAACACAAAGAAATCATCTCCTTACGCTCATATGCCTGCGTTTTGAAGCAACTGAAAAGAATTCAAGTCATTTTGTTAATTTTTTTCGAAACAAACTTCCAGAAAAATATAGTATCATAATTTTGTGAGTCTTTACAATGAATTACCTCATGTTCTAATTTTTTTATGATGTCCACTTTCACAAGAATTCAAGATATTATAACAAGCTGTAAGTGAAAACGGAGATCACAATAATCACCAATATTTCTATGTTATAAGGTCTTGTTTGGGCTAGTTTTCTTAATGCTTCTCAAAACAATTTTTTTAGTATAAAAATTAAAATTTTTGTACTAAAAATCTGTTTTAAGAAAGCAAAAAAGCAACCCAAACAAAGCCTAAGTGAAACCGATCCGATTTTTGAAACCCTGCTCTCAACAATCAACAACTAAGCCTCCATTGCTATGATCACACAGGTCAGCCATTCAAAATAAAAGAAAAAAAATTGCTTATTCAAGAAAGATTTGAATTAAATAATACAGAACAGGCGTTAAGGAAGAACACAGCACAAAACTTGCTTTCATTAGGATAATTATGGCCCAATAATTTCCTAATGAAAATATAAAAATAGGCTACCCTTTTTCTGGCGAATAAATGAACTTCCAAACCACATAATAAGACAACTAACAAATGAAAACACTCCTAAGCAACTATTACTAGTTTTAAACCTGCACTTTTGGCGCTCTGAGAAAATATACACTCTTCACAAACCCTTTTCCAACCTCTCCAACACCTTTGAGTTTCTTAATGAACTCTGTCTCGCTCTCATCTTCGTTCTCCCTCTTGCGTTTCTGCAAAGTATTTTACCAAAAGTACATATCAATGCTTATCATTTTATCAAATTAGCAAAACAAGTCCGGGTTAAGAAGAGATGAACCTTCAAATCCCAAGTCAGCCCAATTGCGTCACCACCAAGAGAGTCATACCATATCTTAAAGGTTTCAGGGAACTCTTCCTACAGATCAGATAATAAACAAAATTTATGCAAGTCCTGCGCAGAAAGATTAGCTCGAAAAAGTTATCAGGTTTTAGTACCGTTAAATCTTCCAGGAAGAACATGGTTGGGTCAAAATTCACCAACAGCTTACTTCTTGCATCTTCAAAACTTTGTGCTGCACCACCACCAAGTTGAATGAAAGGGTTGAAATCCTCGCCTGCTTTTCCCTGAATTACATGTTTCCCTGCAAGCTTACCATCGGTTGGATTGCATTTTCCATTGGATTTGTCATGAGATTGAATATCATTCGAGTTATAAAAGATATTAACCATGGCTGATCGAGCTGGGGAAAAGAAGGCGTTGAGGATAAGGAAGCTTGTCTGGATGGAGAATTACGACTGCATCATAGTTATTCATTGGCGTACGGAATAGACACTGAAGAAGAAGAAGAGAAACCAGGTGAGCTCAATGCAGTTAATGTCCTGGTTTAATCATGGAGATATTGGGAGTTAGTAGTTACCTCCCAAGTGTATGGGCCATTTTGACCTTGGAGAATTAATTTTGTCAAGAGGTCAGCACTGCTTCGAGCATATGCAGCCATCCTTTTTAGTATCTTCAAACATGAAATGATGGGAGATCAAGATTAATGATCGGAACTGAGTGATTTTCAACGAGCCATTTTTATGAGCACATAACACATATGAGGTGCTAAAAAAGGGGCAGCAAAGTGATTTTCAACTGAGCGATGAACTAAGAACATAATCAAGAATTCATAAATGCTAAACTGTACTTCAGTAAGGTTTCTAAGACATTTTTATGAGTTCCAAGCCTCAAACAATCTCTTACTAATCCGTATCTAGTAAAACGTTTGAGGCAACCTATGGCAAGATTTAGCTAATTAAAGGAAGACTGGAAGAGCTATGCCTTTTTGTAAAATTCTAGAAGAATGAATGCTGATGGTCACTTATAGTGGTTTTTCTCCTTAACATCTCTAGATATAGTTATGAATGCTTCAATCTTGAGCCTATTCGACTAGGCTCAAGATGCTTAAAATAATTTGATCCAATTTTATATAGATCAAGGCCGGTCATAGGTTGGCTATATCCAATCTTGATTCCAGTAAGATTGGCTTTTGTTTTACCAATACATACACATGATTGTTACTAATAAGTAAAGGGTTAAAAAATAAAGCATGCTAATATTATTACCCATAAGATAAATAGTAATGGCATTATGAGTTTGATTTTAAGGATGGATTGCCAGAATGCAGAAAGATAGATTTCACTAGTCGACCATAAAGAGTGTTGACTAGGATATTTTCTATGTACCCTATTAGTCCTCAAAATATACAAGTGAATAACACACCAATCCAATTTTATATCAGTAGTGTCAAAAGGAGAGGAGCTAGGGAGATCTCAACCATAAACAAGCTTTTTAAGCAAATAAATATCACTCTAAGAGACAATTCGGAACTTCTTCTATTTGACCTAGCCACAACAAAACACCAAATAAAAAAACACTAAAAAGAGGAATTTAAGAAGGTCAAAACAAACTCAAACAGCAAATCATCCTAATAGAAAAAAGCCAACAATAGATGGAAACCTCAAACATCAAGCAAACCTCCACAATATCCAAAGGTAAGATAGTGCAGGGAAGGCATTCACAAAAACAACCATAGCCCATGGGGGAGAAAGAACTAGACCAAAACCAAGAAGTATGGTTGTTGAAGGCCAGTAATAAAGTTTGGGAGAATTAGAAAGATAGAACTAAGCAAATCACATCGAACATAACCCTTAGGAAGTACCACACAAACAAGTTTTCTAGCCTAACTAGGTTTGACACATAATCTGAGTTGGGGTAGGATTACTTCGACCAAAAATAATATTATAGCGAGCTCTCTAAATATGCTAAATAATAATGTAAAGCATGATAAGTTGAGTATCAGTTTGACTAGCAAGGTTGTTACCTAAAAAGTTTCCTGATTCCATTGAGAAATTGAAATGTTTATACAAAGGATACAGAGTCCAATTAGTGGATAAAATGAGGAAGAGAGTGATCGGTTATGAAAGAAGGAAAAATAGTAAGCATCAAGGTTGGGAAATAAATATATAATATTGTTCTCCTATCTATGAAAATAACTAATCCAAAATTTGATTTTACAAGCGGTTTACCCATATTTTGTACGATGGGTGTTGCCCGCAAAGTACAAGCTTTATTCAGTTGGATTGATTGCAGTCCACCCTTAATTCCTATGTTTGATTTCTGCCCTCCTTTATGCAATACTCCAGAATTGGATCCTAAACTGTTGCAACAGTTGTTAATGATATTATGGCTGCTGTCCACCCCACAGATCCTTGCAGATCTGATTCCTGGGCAATTGCAGCCATGCACCTTCCAAGCAGGGCTGCAGACTAATTTGGATAGGCCGAGAATTTCCACAAAAGCTATTTCAATAAGAATTATAACTCATTCTCCTAGAATGATTTTTCCCAATGGGTACAACTATATTTAAAAAATACCTAGTTTGGAATGTCATTTTCAATGCTCATTTGCATACTTGTTTGCAAACAAAATTCAGATCCACTTCTGCATCTGGAAATAAAAAAATTGAAATCCTAAACCAGTAGTTTTCAAATTTAAATTAATAAATTTTGAATGACATACACGTTTCTCTGAAATTTAATTTCAGTTTGTCAGACAAAAATAAATTGAACAGCAATTCATGTGTTCATTTCTTTAGTTTTTTTTTTAATTTTTTATTGGGAAACATGTGCAAATGAAACATAATGAAATGGCCTTCAAATTTTTTTTCACGTCCAAGAGCATATATATATGCAAGGGATATAATCAACTCATATTCATAATACATAAAATTGGTTTGTTTATTTATCCTTTAAATCCACACTCATTTTATGTATGGGTGTTCAAGAACCATGAGGTTTGAGGTCACTCGCATGTAACTTGAACATGGCTGAAAAGATTTATTCTTTTTTTTGTATCAATTTTTCTGGCACAGATAAAAAGATGCATTATAGATATCAAACCATCAAATTAAGATTATTATATTGAACTAGCACAAGGCAAGCAACAAACTTGTCCTGGCATAGCTTCTTAAAATACTATATCAATGGTGAAATTACTCACTTCACCATTTGGTAAACATTTTGTCCAAGCTTCAGATGTCTTGTCATACGTAGTAGCTAAAAACATTGCTGGTTCCAAAATTTGCACATTCTCTTCAGAAGATTTTCTGCTTGACAAGAAGTTCTCCTATTGCATAGAAAACATTTAATCGATAGTTATGAAACCTTTCATAAGAAATAGCTCATAGATCAATTATAATAGTTCATAATACTCACATTTATCTCCCATTCATCTTGTGGAGTAAAATCTCCATTTATGTCGATGATTAATGGTGAGAAATTCCAATCATAATTTGACATTAGGCGCAAGAACCTAATACAAGCAAATATATAAGTTCAGACATTCCAAGTTAGCATGGCTTCATATGGTAAGAAAAAAGAAAAACAATAGCAAGAAAGAATAAACAGTACAAGAATAACATAATAAACTTATAAGCAAGATACATACCTCAGAAATCCAGTAATACGAGTCAAAGGAGCATGGTAAGGAAATGGCCTCAGAAAGAGGTAGGCAACTATCAATTCAATTGCCTCCTCTTCAAGAAAAGAAGAAAACAGGTGTGAAGAAATCCAGCGTTTTGCCAGCCTTCAAAATAAGGCGAAAAAGATTAAAAGAACAAGAAAACTAACATTGTTGACGGATGATGAACAAAAAAAATATGGAACAAGATTTTACCCAAAAACACTTGAGGGATAATTTTTCTGCAGTGCACTTAAAATCCTTACCTAACAACAGATCCATATGTTGGGTACCGACCATTCAGACCATTAATCATACTGGCGTGCTGGCTGCATAAGAACAACTCCTCGTCTATATATCTTTTACCCTTTATGCTATCATTGCCTGCTGCGGGTGAAGTTAACAACAATGTGGTCCAAGTACATGATATTAAATATAAAAAATAAAGATTATTCTTAAGAATTTTGTACCTTGGTTTCTCAACAAGAGCAAGCTTCTCTCATGAAGGATTTTAAGACTAAAAGCATATCCTTCCATGAGGACATGCACCTCATCCTCCGTTGCACTGCAAAGCATGCCCCATCGATCTTGAAGACTGCAATTATAATGTAAATGATATCAAAGTTCACCAAACAAGCAATCATTTTCTGAACAACATGTTAAACATTCAGAGAAACTGGATTCCCCTTTACTACCTCTCACAAATTTTTAGCAGGAAAGCAACTTTAGTCTTCTCAATGACCTTTGCATCCAAAGGCCAGCTTCCAGATCCCTCTAACTACATGATCATTCAAGCCATCAGGAAACTAATGCATTAAAAATAACATGTGAAAGACAAAAGTCCTAATTAAGCAAGACAAGAGGCTACATATGAATGCCATGGGAATTTAAAAAAAAAGTTCTGGAGCTTAGAGGAACCGCAGAAAAGGATCAGAAATGAAGAAGACGGATATTCTTTGAAATTGTAACAATAATTCTTTGGATAATAAAAAAAAATTAAAATTGTAGTTCATAGATTATCTGGTAACTTTGAACATGAAATGGTTGAGCTTTCTAAACTAGTTTGTAATAATGGAGACTTCCAAAAGAGCAACATTCCATTAAGAAAATATAAGAATATCAATTACCTGAATCATAACTGTGAGTGGTTTGATACACGTAGTAGTAAATTTCGGTACATTCTTAGCACTGCCCTTCTCATAAACAAGAGGATGAGGTTCAGGAGGAAACACAGCCGTATGTCTGAAAGCTGCACATGAACTGCTCATCAAATGCACTCTAAGAAAATTAAATATAAGTACATGAAATACAAAAAGATTGAAAATTCAAGAAATGCATCGCATCGTCATTATAAGGCTTATCTTAAACTATTAAGATCATATTTATGAAAACTAATTCTTCATTCACCCTGATTGAGTGTTGCATGACAACATATTACACATTTTGTGCATGTCCCTATCAACAACTTCACCCTAGTTACCTCAACGGTATCCCTTTTACTTCTTACTCTCTTCAACAATATCTGATGTATGCATTTTCTACCATTAGTAGTCAAAATCACGCAAATCTATTTTTTACCACTTATATAAATGCTATTCCATTACCACCACCAACAACAACAAAAACAACAAGCCTTTATCCCACTATATGGGGTCGGCTACATAAATCATTTTTCTCCACTGTGTCCTGTTAAGAGTCAAATTCTCATCTAAATCTAATAAAGAGAGGTCATTTCTAATGTTTTCTAATCAAGTCTTTTTAGGTCTACCTCTACCTTTTTTAATATAAGTTAAAATGCTATTCCATTATCATTTTAATAAAATCATTCCTCTATCTAAACTTCATAGTTTGCCGCATATCCATTTAAATATTCTCTCTAGCATACTATCAATGACTTCTTTTGAGCATATCCAATCAACATATAAGACTTAATTAGAATTTTAAAATTGAAAATCCCAAAAATCAATGGTACTAAACAATTAGGTAAAAGTTATAACTAACACAATATGTTTCTTCAAAGTCTTTGAAGTAGAAGCATCTTTATATTGGACCGGTCTAACCGGTCCGCACGGGACCGGCATTTCGCAAACAGAGGCGGGATCTCCGCCTCCTGCGGAGATCGGGCGGTCCGAACGCCCAATCGGAGCCCATTATGAAGGATTTTTTAGGGTTTTGAGAAGGAAATTTGAATGTAGGGACTGTTTAGGGATTTCCTTTTGATTTGTGTGAATTAAATAATTGATTTTCCTAGGGTTAGGGGAGCTGGATTTTGGCTGAAATTTGAGATATCTTAGAATTAGGTTTTTCTTTGGGCTCTAGCGGCGTCTAGAGATTTGGGAGAGATCGATTCTCCTCTCGAATTGAGGATCAATTGTATCTTGCTATTTTATGTTTTCCTTTCATCAAATAATGCAAATTATCTACCATTTCGTGGTTTTGTGTGGATTTTTGCGAAGAATTCTCGCTGTTTTGTGAAGATTGATAGGAAATACTTGCGATCTACAAGTACTTCCTATCACTTTCTTCAAAGAGACTTCTTAGCTCAAGTTGGAATCATTAGTGCTCTAGCATAATAAAGAGCTAAAAGTAATTTTTAATGAATAATTCACATTAAATGAAGTTTAATAACATAAAATCCTAAACATTATAGAGATAAAACCCATACAATTTAACAATACAAATTCAATAAAAATGGATATTTACTATGACTAGAAAACAATATAATTTTATGCTTATACCGATATCTTGAGCAATGCATATGTTTTATGGCAAGAAGAACGCAGGTCAAAGCTCATCGACTCCTCGGGAAAAAAAAATAAATCGGTATTTTTCATAAGTATAATTTGTATTTGTTTTTACAATTAATAAACAATATAAAATGGACAAACTCAGAGTTGGGTTATCATAATGAAACAGCACAAAGATGGTCTTTGAACACTAAAAAGCAATACAATTTACAATGCGAAGGTAGAATAAGATTTTCTTTTGTAAACTTTGGTAAGGAACATGCCTGCATCTAGTGGCTGTACACTTGAGATTCTCAAAGGAATATCGTCTAGAAGACGTAAGCGCTTTGACAAAGTCTCGAATGTCTCCAATAGACTTGTAGAAGACGATATAGGATCTGACACAGGACAATTATGCTAAATATGAAAAGAAAGAGACAACAATTCTAAAAAGGCATTACTAAACAATCTAACCTTTACCACCCAGATGAATACTGAAATCAAGCTGATCTACTGCATATACTATATCTCCTTGTGACAGAAGAAAATGTTTAGAAATAACATATTCAGTAATTCTCTTCATGATGAGGTGTCTCTGCCACGGTGGACACTCCCATACTGTAAGAAGGCATTATAATAAGTTGAATACTCTATAGCCCAGTCTGAAAGAGGAATTAAAATTGGTTGCGCTCAAATACCTGTGCTTTCGGCAATAGTACCATCCCTAAATCGTCTCAATTCTGCCTTGTCTCCCCAAAATTTTCTAAATTTAGCAGCCTAAACTATGATAAAAATATATATACTTTTAGCACTTCCAAGCAAAGGATATGTCAAAGCCAAAATTTGGTTAGCTGCAGATAAATGATTTTTAAAGATAAAAACAGCATAGGAAAAAGATAACCTCCTCATTGTTCTCGGCATGTGGACCAATATCAACCAAACGAAAGCACTTTTCTTCAGAGCTCAACAATAAGCCAACAAGCATCGGCTCTTCACCAAAATTTTCATAACCCTACATGGTTAATGCATCTTGATCATCCAGGTTTAGATAATCAAGACTTACTTGAAATTGGCTTAGGTAGCAGACATACTATACCTCATTTATATTCCAATTAGACGGAGCACTCCCCCAAGTCACACGGACTAATTTAGCTCTATCGCTTAGTCCCTGCTGCAAAACGGACTGCACATCTTTTTCAACTAATCCCCAGCGTTCCTCATCCAAGCAAAATTCAGATGAATTGATTATAGCGTTTCCTTTAAAATTTATTCTGTATTAAACTTCAAATGTCAGAAAATTATTGGTTGGTAGAAAAATAAAAGATTATAAGCAGTTAATATGCTCGAAGTACAACTGCACATTAAAACATGATAGCATTCCATAATCAACTCGACTGAATTCTTAGTAGTGCGAGATACATGAACATATATAATCATATGAAATTATATAATCATTGCTAAAGATTGCCACAAATTTAACCTAAATTTATTGCAAAGTCGAATCAAAAAAGATTTTTTCCTTTTTTTGAAAAGGATTTCAAATTGCAGAGCTCAAGCATTCAACATTCTTATCTCTTACAACATTACCTTAAACAAGCATCAAATTTAGCAGCAAAGTCAGCCTTAGTCATGAAAACCTCTTCAAATCCACCACCTCTACATTTGTCAATGCAATTAACTGTCCAAGCAGCCTCTTCTTGAAGCTGATAGTTGGAAGCATAAACGCATATAAAAACAACCAAGAAAATGAAAACTAATGAAATAAAATAGAAAAATCTTTGCATTTGGGTATTAAAGCGGAAATAAAACTAACAGGAAATGAAGAAAAATAGAATATGCATACCTCTGCAAAAGCTGTTCTAGTCAGGCAGAACAGCAAGTTCGTATGACCAGTTGCGTCATACAGAACAACAGGAAATGCTTTGAGACAACGAATCATCTCCTGAAATTATAAGAACAATTAGAACACCTCGACTATATTACATTTCTGCATTCTAAACATGCAAGCAGGGTTAAACGAATGTAGCATTTTAACAAGGCAAAGTTCAAAACTCTATTCATAGCCAAAAGTTTGGGCAATTACACTAGTAATACTCAAATCTTATAACTTCATAAAACAAACACAAATTTCTTTGCAATACAATTTTCAAATTTCATTCTTAATGCTTTACTTCTATTACAAAAATCCTTAAGTTAGCCAGTTAATTTTAAACAGTTGTGTTAATTTTTTATGTGAAGAAAATTTTGGTTATAATACATATATTCCATAAATGTTAAGATTTATAGAAAAGGTAACTCAGGCGTCAAAATCTACAAGGAATGTAATTTTTTTGCTTCTAAATAAATATATTATGCTACATATAATAAAAATAAAGGTGACTGACTTCATTGAACAGCTTGGACTGACTTAATGGCCCAAGCGAGAGGCCCTTTGTCCACAAATTTGAAGCTGAAAGAAAAATATGCATGCATCAGTGCAAATTTAAGAGTTATGAACTATAAAATTAACAGAGGACAGCCGTTAGGTCTCAAGGGGGGAATCAAAATGGTCTAGCATGCTCAAAACAATAACAGCTTATTCATGGTAAGTCAAAATAAAGGGGGTTTTGATCATAATAACATCATTGAAGAAAGGAAGCTAAAATAAGGACGGTAATTTAATCATTAATTCATCAGGAACAATAGCATGATGAAAGGAACTAGCTCCTAGAAACTGTTGTAGTATTCCACAGAAAAAAAAAAAAAAAGCTTAACTAAACAATTTTTTTGTTAAAAAAAATTAGCAGATTCAAACTACTTTCAGTCAAATCATTAGCTTAAAGGACCTTAAAATAGAAGGAAATATTTAAAAAGCCAAAGAACAATCCTACGGAAGATTAAACCAGTATTTCCTTCTAAACACTGAACAATAACCATTAACAAAATAATTAAGTAAGCTAGCAAATACCTTTGATAATATGGATAATCTTTTTGTGCAACATAGACGCTGAGGATAACAACAAAGAGCAATTGATGAAAAACATAGTTGTACATCAACATGCATAGAAAGGTGACAAAGGTCTTGAAATATTCATAATATCATTTGAACTGATATCCCACTAAGTTGTGGGTTGATTATAAATCTATAGCCATTGATCTCAGCTTTTTGCAACATTTTTTAATTTCCTTTCTCGTCCTAACATCCAAACATAGTCTGGCGGCTCTTGCAGAAACTTTTGTATGGCTATATCACAGCTACTGCTTGTACTTGATCCTCTTGCAAATAGCTCCTTCGAATAGCTTAGCAGACTTCCAAGGTCTTTTGATCACCTCTAGTTGTTGGGTTCGTTGGTCTAATGGTCTTTTATTGTGATTTCCAAGCAGTTTGTTTCCTTCCTAGGTGAGAAGCACTTAAAAAGATTATATTCATAGAGACTACAGGTTTTAAGGCAACTTTATCGATATATGGACGCTGTGCATTACTTCATGCTATTTTTTGAAAGCCAATGAGAAGATAACAGAAATTCCACTTTGTCACCAAATCTCCTAGCAAAGAAGCAACCAATGTCCCTTGATTCTCCCTTCCTTGCAACATTTGGAAGACACAATAGCTGCATCACTCTATTTGTTTTTCTCTTAAGAAATCACTTGTTTGAACCCTCAATCTAAATAGCAAACTTTTTGAATCGTACCCTCCAATGGTTTAAAGATAATTACCAAAATTCCCTTTACAATTTGATACAATTACACAGTTAAACCAGATTTTCCATCTTTTCTAGATCGTTTAAGCATATTTTTAGTGCTAGGTTAGATGTGCAAGGACCATGTTAAGTTTGAAACATATTGTAAATTATCTAAGAACTCAAGCTTTGTAATGTCAAAACAAAATACACAAATAATAGTGCCAAAAGATATTTAAATCAATCATAATCAACTCATTTGCTACTAAATTTATTGTCCATGAATATTTGGCATATGGCTATGATGATGATGAACTGTAATCATTAGAAAAGATAAACTTACTAGACATAGAACCAAAATTTTAAAACAAGTTTTACGGAGTTAAAGAGAAGGTCGTAAGTTTCTCACAATCCGTAAAAATGACAAATGATAATTTAAGAACAAACCGAATAGGATTAAAGCTGATGGTGAGATTAAATAAATAAAAAAAAAGGTTTACCAGTTACAGACAAGAATTCTAAATATTTATTCCTAGTTACAGAATACTATTAAGTTCCTGACAAAGATTAAAAATTCAACAAGAAACTAAACGAAAACAGAATAAAAGAAACCATAATTAAATAAAAACCATAAGAAAATTGTGACACTAAGGAAGCGATATACATATAAACTTCAAGGTGACACGAAATATCTGCAAGGCCTTCATTGACCTGTTGATTTGATTTCCTCCAGGCCCAGCTGTTAGGTAGGAAAGGATGATGGATATCAAGTACCCATTTAAGCAATCATGTGTATAAATTGAAGTTCTGTTCCGAGCCCAGACCTGAATCATGAAGAAGAATATTTTCAAATATTTAATTATATAACAGTGCCAAAATCAATTGCAATTAACAAAAAAAAAAATAAAAAGCAGGGCAGTTATATCAAAGAAACAGAATCTTAGAATACATGGTGTGGTTTGATAAGATTTATTAAATAGATATAAATGATGACTTCAGAAGAATCAGTTCAAAATGTAAGCTAAAGGTGTTCCAAGGTTGTACTTTAAGCAGAAGTAAAGCATCTCTCAATGTCTTCCATTCGGTGAAAGTGTTCTTCACAAAGTCCACATTTTCCTCCATAAACATGTCCTCTAATATGCTGCTGTTGTAGTATGGAGTAGCTCTAGAAGTGTCACCTTCACAAGCCAAGCGTAGTTATACAAAAGTAGGAAAAAAACTATTAAACTAAATTAAAGTTTAAGCATTATGATACAACTCTAGAAACCCAGGCATGGAGAATAATTATGCTGAAAATTTCAAATGACAATAAACTGCTTCAAGTTCGAAGCTTTCATACCTTGATTAAATGCACGAACATTATTTCGTGAAATGCTCAACCTTGAGGCATTGAATACGGATGAAGCAGTAGGTATTATCCTTATGAAAAACTCAGAGAGCTCAGCATTTTTTATAACTGTACAGCCAATTGAAATGCAGTAAGTTCACAGCCGAGAATCATAAGTTGATGGTTTGCAATAAGACAAGATAAGGCAGCACCATATACAATGATAAAATGAGAGAAATTCGACAAACGCGACTGATAGCAGTAATAGTTAAGGAAACGAGAAAGATGTAAATGAACCTGGATAGAAATGAATAACGGGCTTCCTGGCCTCATTCTGGAAAGTCCGCCATTCCATCTTCCGAAATAAAGTTAACGACTTCAAACTCTTTTCAATCACACACAGATAAAGACACCTTTTAGCATGATATATGTGGTTCATATAGTCCTTCTCATGGAAACACTCCTGAAATTCAAGAAAAAAAAAAGTTTAAAAGAATTCTCCGTGAAGAAGAAAAGTAAGAAAAAAATAAAAAACGACAAACAATGACCTTGGGCATACGGATTAATAGGTCGACGTTTATATCAGGCTTCGCGACGCATCCAATAGAGTAGCTTCCACCGATACAGATGGATTCCGGACTCTTGAATTTGAAATTAACCTTATTGGACGGCACACGGAGGTCCCGGAAGAACCCAAAAGCGTGTTCTAGGTCCGCTTCCTGGTCAGGTATATTGTTTATGGCGTCTATGATGGAAGATACGGCTCGATCTATGGCTTTGTTGGCGGACGGACCGAGCTGGAGGTCTTTCAAGAGCTCCTCAACTTTGAAATCCATGGAGTCGGTCTCGAGCACCATAGCTTCTTCTCGCCGGCTGCCGTCGTATTCGCTTGCACGTAACCGTCAAAACAGCGGCTTTGAAGGGTTTTTGCTAGGGTTTAATAAAAAGCAGAGGGGTTGAGATTTGAGAAGAAGCCGACCGTTCTCAACATTTCACTAGCCCGTGGACGATGGGCCAAGCCCATCTACTTAATAGCCCAAACAATTTTTGTCTTTTTTTTTAAAGGATATTTTGGACAAGTTAGACTTCGTTTGGGACGGCTTAGTGCTTCTTAAATCAATTTTTTAGTATAAAATTTTTAGCTATTGTACTTGAAAGCTACTTTAAGAAGCAGTAAAAAAGACATCCCAAATGAAGCCTAAGGCTTAATTTGGAATAACTTTTTTTGTGTTTCTTAAAACAACTTTTTAGTACAAAAAAAAAAGAAAATCTTTGTACTAAAAAGTTATTTTGAAAAGTAATAAGAAAGTCGTCCCAAATGAAGACTAAGGCTTCGTTTGGGACGGCTTTCTTATTACTTTCTAAAACGGAGTTTTAGTACAAAAATAAAAAAATTTGTACTAAAACTCCGTTTTAGAAAGCAGTAAAAAAGCCGTCCCAAATGAAGCCTAAGGCTTTGTTTGAGGCAGCTTTAATAATGATTCTTAAAGTCGCTTTCTAATATAAAAATTATTTTTTTCTAATAAAAATATATTTTAAGAAACAGAAAGAAAGCTGTCCCAAATAATGCCTAAGTCAACCTCTCAAAGCTCCCAAAAAACAGATCAATATGAAAACGAAACCTAAGACTTTGTTTGAGGCGGCTTTCTTAATGCTTCTTAAAGCAGCTTTCTAGTATAAAATTTAATTTTTCCTACTAAAAATTGCTTTAAGAAGCACAAAGAAAACTGTCCCAAACAATGCCTAAGTCAACCTCTCAATGCTCCCAAACAACAGATCAATATGAACGTATTGATCTAAAACTTCGAAGTTGAACCAACAAATCATTTGTACCCAAATGAGAAAAATAATGCCTTTAAAAGCTGAAAAAAAAAATCAAAATTCAATGATGAAAAAAAATATTACTAAACTGTGGCATACATTGTACTATGAGATAGAGAAAATTACTCTAATAGTTCATCTAAATTACTATACTAAAATTTTAATTAGTAGTATTAAAAAAAATATTATATTCTTGTTATCATATCTAAACGAAAAAAAATATATATTGAATTGCAAGCAATATTCTCCATCTCTTAGTACAATATGTGCCACAATCACTGAATTTTTCATGGACTTGGAATTAATTGTTGGTCGGTCAAGTTCAAATAAATATAAATAACATTAGATTCTTATAATCATATCATATGGTTCACCATATTAAAGGAAAAATGATAATCATGAGGAAAAAAGATCAACATAAAAAGAGATAAGAATTACATCATCAAATTTATGGTCGCAAAATGAAAGAGTAATAGATATCGAGTTCCAAATTTAATATATAAAAAAATCATATACGATAATTACATCCATGATAACTTTTTAACTAAGCGATTGACTTTAAAAAATTAGATCGTGTCAATGTAACATTCATGTATTCACTTAGGCTTTATTTGAGACGGTTTTTTTACTGCTTCATAAAATTAACAGTGAAAAAGCCGTCTCAAACGAAGCCTAAGATGTTGTATGAATTGGCTTGCCAAGGAAATGTCATATGTGATGTACGATATTGATAGTTTCTATTTCTGACTCACTTGAATTTGTTGTACTCGTAATCTATTTTTTTATTTTAGCATGGGTCAATTGATTCATAATAGTTTTATTTTTGAACTTTGGAGCTAAGTATATGCAAACTAACACGCGTATCACATATATAAACTTCAAATTCAAGACCTCTTGATTTATCCAACCAATGGATCAAGATGAATTACATAATATATGTATACGCACTAATCTTGATATGTTGGTTGGAAGCTTTAACGACCAATCAAAAGTCTTTGATTAAAATCTTATATATATGCTGTGCGTATGAGTTTATAAAAGATACAGATTATATGATAAGTAGAATGAAATTTTGATTCGTTGGTTGGTCTCTCCACTTCTCCTGTACAACAATCACTATTATTCTGCACATAATAATCTCAGCCGCTGGTGCTCGATCTATTGCCTTCAGAATAATCTCAGTCGTTCCCTATTAATTAACCAACTATGCAGTTCTCTTCTACATAAGTGTATACTGTAGTTTGAGACAGTGAATGGAAAAGATTGTTCTTATCGTGTGAATTTCCTTACTCTCTTTTGCTTATATCTTTCTTCCTAATGCTTTATGCAGGTTACTTGAATCAAATGCTGAATTCAGAGCAGTTTTTCATGAGTTTGCCTAAACTGACTTAATGACTAAATAAATAAATAAAGGAAAAATATTGTACTTATTTTGTCATATAAAAATAATGGTTTGGTTTGATTTGATTGAACTGCTTCAAAGCTTAAAGCCGAGCATTAACTTCTTGCGGCAATACAGACACTGAGATAATGAGAGCTTTAATTTTCCTTGTAAAAGCTTGAAGCTTTCCAGCAGCTATATATGACTATATATATGATATATAAATTTTCAAAATAAACAGTGCATACTGTTATAAAAAATTCAAAATAAGCCTGGTCAATAATTTTCCAAATGCCTTTCTGATTGCAGTAGCTTCAAATTAATTTTATGCTTATAAACTATTCTTAATTAAATCCTATGTGAATTTGCCTAAAAAAGTATTAAAAAAATCATTAATTCAATAATTCTCCTTTATCCATCTCATGCCACGTGGTGGGACTGCGGTGGACACGTGGTAAACTGTATGCAGCTTTGCGGTATTAGTTTCTGAGCTAAATTATTTTCAATCTATTAATTGCGACAGCAAATTAACTGTTCCTGCCAATGCCGCTAGCGCTGCTTGCAGAGTTGTGGGAGTTGGTTGTATGTAGAGTATGTCATATATATTTGTAAAAGTAAGATTTGCTATTTAAAAAAAAAAAATCATTTTATTTGTGATAATTTCTTAGTACCTTCTTAAATAAATTTTTTAAATGGTTAATTTTTTTCTTAAAAAATTACTTTAAAAGGCAATAAAAAATATATCCCAAACAAAGGCCTTAGACTTTATTTGAAATACACAGCTCACCTTAGTCTGTTGGTTGAGAGCTTATACTTTCAACTAAGAGGTCTTAGATTTGAGTCTTTTTGTATGCATTTTGTGTGCGAATTTGTCTTAAATGGACTAAGTGTCAAAAAAAAAAAAAAAACTTTAATTGAAACTATTCTTAAACAATTTTTTTGTTTTAAAAAATACCAAATTATATATATATATATATATATATATTCTTTTGAAGAGCATGGAAAAAATAATAAAAAATATAATGTACTATATTTTTATTTGAGAAATATGTTATAAGACTATCTAGGCAAAATGAATTTATTTTTTAAAATAATATATCAAATTTATGTTTTTGTATAATACAATTAAAATATTAAATAATTATTAAAAGCCGAGAATTTTATTATACTCTCTTAGTTCTGAATTGTAATATTATAAATAAAAAAAATTATTGTCATTTCTATAAATTTATAATGTTTTGATATTACATAAGAACTTTGTCCATTAAATTAAATAAAAATGTATTTTAATGCAAAAGCCCTATCATTATTATCTATGTTAAATGATATAAATAATAGCCTCTAAGGCTCTAATTAACCAAGAAGTTAACCTTTTTATTTTGGTTCCTCTGATCAGATAATTTTTAAGATATGCTGGTTTTGGGCCACAATTTGTACTGAAATCAAAGGAAGGCTGAAGGTGTCTTTTATCCTCTTTAAATTTCATAGAACTTATTTTGCTATGTAGAGTTAAGATGTCTTTAATTTAATTTTCAAAGTTTTCAATTAAAAAAATACATTGATATTTGTATTAAAGCTATCGTAATATATGATTGTTTAATTAAAATTTTATTAGAATATTTTTAAAATGCATTAAATAGATTAAAATTTATACTCAACCAAATTTAATTAGGAGATCTTAATAAAATATTTTTCCATAATCTTTGTACAACATATGTTAATGTCATTGAAAAACTCTCTAACAAATAATTTCAGATAGGTCAAACATCCTAGATGAATTTTCTCTCAATCTCTTTCACACATTTTAACGCCATTGAACAATAATCTGACAAACAATTTTGGATATGTCAAACATTCTAGGTAGATTTATTTCGACCTCTTCCATATAAACTAACATCATTGAGTAACACTCCGATAAATAACCTTTGATAGATCCTCAATTTATGTCACAAAAGTTAATGCCATAGAAAATTGCTCCTATAAAAACACCAAAAAGGCAAGCCCATGAGGTAATCTCGAAAGGAATGTAGTAGTGGATATTATTCTCACTAGGAAGACTCTATGAGGACAATTGGTAGACAGGGTCTTTAATTTACTCACAACCTTAGGAAGGTATGTGTCACGACCCAACCTGATGTGATCTGATACCACACAGGTCATACCGTGCCCAATAATGATAAAAAATAAAAACTGACTCCAAGATGGAGTTGGGTAAGTGTAAGAAAAACTAAAATTTTAATTTATATACAGCATATAGCCACTACTAAATATAAAATAAAGTAGAAGACTGTTTCTCAAAAATATTTTTTTTTATTATATCATACAAAGTACATAAACAATATGAGGTTGATCTATGACAACATTTGATAATAAAGAGAATAAAAAAATAAAAGCCAAGCTGGCAAAATTGAACAAGCCAAAACATACCTACAACACAAATACAAGTCTGCTATCAAACTACTTAGCTATATCCTTACCGTTTAACGAACCTAAAAATAGAAACAAAAATAAGAGTGAGTTAACTCAGCTCAGTAGGCTATCATAGTTTAAAACATAAATCAATAGTTCAAAGCAAAAGGACTGAAAATACTGTGATCTAATAACAAACTGAAAAATTATACGAAAAGTTGAAACTAAACAAAATTTTGTACAACTGCATTTAAGTAACTATTGATATTGTA